CTTTAATCAGTGCTTTTAATTCAAGGCCGTGATTCCAATTTTTGGGGTCACTTTTTTCTTTTGTTTTTTTTATTTTTTTTAAATTCCATATATATGTATGTATAGCTGTATAGTTTGTATAAAGGAGTAAGATCCATGTTTTCTTCCATGGCTTGTGGGAAAGATATTTTAGTCTATATTAAATTAAATTCAAGAATGATTTGAGAACTTAAAGAATATTTAGAATTGAAATGATGGTTATTTATTTATTTTAAAATACTGTTTTTCTGTGTTGAGGGCCTAATTCATGATCTCTCAGACAAGTTTTGTGAATTCTCTGTGCTGCTATTCTGCAGACAGGGTTTCTTTGTGTAGCCCTGGCTGTCCTTGAACTCTCCTACAGAGATCAAACTGGACTAAACCTCAGGGATCCACCTGCTTCTGCCTCCAGAATGCTGGAATCAAAGGTGTGCACCACCTTGCCTGTTTGTGTTAAAGTATACGTTAATATAGTCATTTTAAAATGTGTTTTAAAGGTCTATCAGTTCATATGAACATAATTGATTTAATCTTGCCCCAAAGCTGCTCTTTACAGTTTTTTGAACTTCCTGTTTGCTGTCATTTTGGCTGACATTCAGTCGTGTGGCAGATATCCTTTCTTTCCTGTTGATGATTATTTAATTGTGACTTATACTATAATTTCAGTACATTTTTAGTACACAGTGGCCCAAATCCACTTTTTATGAAACTCAGGCACTATGTGTCTGCTAAAGATTTTCCTGTTCAGCACACCATGGTCATTTTTTAAAAAGTTTTTATTTTACATATCGATCCCAGTTCTCTCTCCCTCCCTCCATCCCTCTCTCTCTACCTTCCTCCCTCTTTCCCTCTTTCCCACCCTCCTATGCCCCCGACCACCCTTCCCTCCCACCCCTCCCCATGGTCATTTCTTTTCTCTCAATTTTAAAGAAAGGTTTTAAATATTATTATACTCATGATATATGATATTTGTGAAGTCTAAATTATAAATATTTTAAAATTTGTCTTTATGTGAATATGTATGTATGTGTTTGCATGTCTGATGTATGTGTGCAGATGTCTCCAGGGTCAGAAAAGGTATTGGGTCCTCCTGGAGCTGGAGTTACAGGAGAACCTCCTGATGTGGGTGCTGGGTACCAAACTTGGATCTTCTACAAGAGTAGTATGTGCTCTTACCTGCTGAGCCATTTCTCAAGCTCTTGAAAGCAAATATTGTAGTGAGAAAAATGTTAGAAAATAGCCATATTACAGTAAATGTTATATAGAATGTATGTTCTGTAGTGAAATAAAATTTATAAATCAAGAAATCAAGAGCAGAGTGTTTTCTCTTTATGGCTCTTTATTATAAGTAATTGGATATTTTTTAAGTGTATATAATATACCTTCTGCCTTGGGGTTCTCTATCATTCTTGAAAATAAGTATTATGGAAAAATTCTTCAAGAATAAAATAGAGCACAGTCGTTATCCAGTTTTATTTTACCAGGGTTCCACATTTTGTTTGCCAGTGGTCAAATTTTAAATTTAAGAGGCAAGTAGAAACAGAAATATACCTTCTAAAATGAACATCCCAGGTCAAGGGACCTGTAAAACTACAAACAGGACATCATAGGACATGCACTAGGTAACAGATTTCAGTTTTTGTTTTATGTAGTACAGGGGTCATGAGGGGAAGAAGTAGAAGGTGGCCTGGGGCCAAGTCATTCAGAGCTTGAATGCCTTTGGGTTATTAGTCCTTACAGTACCAAGAGACATTAAATATTTATGAAAAAGAGTATGAGAGTCATTCATAATCATTATTGAGGCTTAGTGTGCCAAGTGTTGTCTTAGGCATCAGAAACACAGCCCAAAAACAGACAAAAAAGGAATCCTGTCCTTATACAGCTCATAATATAGTGAGCAGAAGAGATACTAAATTGTTGGCGCTGTAGTCAGTGGAAAAACAATTGTTTAACATGTACAAAGCAATGTGTTACATCCCCAGCACTAGAGAAAACAAAGTGAAAGCCAACAAATGAATAACTACAGATTATAGATAGGTATATTTTGTTTTATTTGAAGAAAGAAAACAAGGGATTATGGGAATTAGGCTCATGTTATTACTAGAACATTATTACCAGAGTAGGTCTCACTGAGAAAAAAAAAAAAAAAAAAAAAAAAAAAAAAAAATAAAGAAAAACCAGTGCTAGGGGGATTAAGGAACAAGTTGTACAGATAACTGAAATGAATGTTGCAGGCAGAGGGAAGAGTGAATTCCTGTGGGTGATTGCTTTTCTTGGGAGAAGTGAGGTGGTTAGTGTGAATGGTGCTAGTTGAATAAAGGGTAAGAAGTAAGAAATGAGGTCAGTTGTTTTGTAGTCATTGTAATGACTCTGAGTTGCATTGGAAAGGAAAATAGAGTCATTGCAGGTTTGGACTGGGGAGTGACATGACTTTGGTTTTCATAGCATAACTTTGTCTGCCCTTTTCAAAATTCACTGTAAGAGAACAAAGCTAGAATAAGGGCGACAAGATAGACGGTTACTAAGGAAATCTGAGTAAAAGCCCATGGTGGCTTGAAGCAGACTGTGTGTGTGTGTGTGTGTGTGTGTGTGTGTGTGTGTGTGTGTGTGTGGTTACTGAACAGATAGTCTTTTAAGGACTATTGGAGATTAAGAATGAGGTAATGTCTTAAGCATAGACAAATGGAATGCAGTGGTGCCATTAGCATAAATGGTACATTCTTATTAGAAAAATGCTTGGATTATCTTTTAATTCCTCCCAACTCTAACTGTCCATATTATGTGCCTTATTGTGAACAAAAGAAATGTCAACTCAAAACCAGAGAATTGTGAGAAGACTCGCGAATCTTCCTATAAGACTAAGTGAAAAGATAGCTAACATTTCTATTTTTCCTTGTGTTTGTCTCCACCAGTTAAATTGTCAACATGTGTTCAATTGAGATACAGATTTGAAGAATTTCTGATACATATGTACCTTAACTTTGGGAATATGACTATACAGCAAAACATTTTTCTTCTAATTTATATTTTTTCTTTGGAGATATAGATGTTTCCAATCATAACTTTATAATCCCAAAGGAATGGAAGGAAAGGAAAACAGACATTACTTAAAGAGTTATGTAATCTCTCTAAACAAAAAAACAGTGGACAGGCTCATGTCAGATGTTAGCAGGGTCACTTCAGGTCTGTAATTGTGCTTTACAAGAAATCAAGTTTATCACTGTGCATGAAAGTTTTCTGTAACCCACCATAAAACCTCAAAAGAAAATAGTTGGTGGAGAGAGTTTTAAGGTGAATTAATCTTTTAAAGATGGCTTTAGTTTCGAAATAATCTCCATTTTTATCTTTTTTTGCTTATGGATGATGCATTCGTGTGTGTGTGTGTGTGTGTGAGAGAGAGAGAGAGAGAGAGCACATATGTATATGTGGGTGGACACATGTGAATGTGTGTGGACACATACATGTGTGTGTTTGTGGTCACATGCATGTGTCTCTGTGTATGGTGTGTGTTTGTGTGTGTGTGTGTGTGTGTGTGTGTGTACATGCATTCCAGACCATGTTCATGGATGGAGGTCAGAGAATGTATTTGGGTGTTTCTGGGTACTCACATCTTTATCTTGTTTGAGACAGGGCCACTTTGTTGTTCCTTGTTGCGTGGTTAGTTGGCCTACTAGTTATCACAGGTTATCCTGTCACTGCCTGTCATTTTATCGTCAAGAATACTGGGATTATAGATGCACAGTACTGCACCTGGCTTAATGTGGCTTTCAAACTCAGGTTTTCACATTTGTCCAGTGAGCACTTTGCATACTAAGCCATCTTCCAATCCTCTCTTTTCTTTTTTTCAAGGCAGTAAAGATTGGTTGTTGTTTATGATGGTTTAGTACAGGGATTGAAAGTTTAAATTTCTGAAGGAATCAAAGAATTCAAATTACAAAAAATAAAAATAAAAAATAAATCTCTGCATGCATTAGTACATTTGCCATAATTGTTCTAGGGAAAGGTTATCTATAATAGCACAGAAAGAATAGTAGTAATTGTAGGTAATTTCCTGATTTTTTGAGATCAAGTAGTTCTGACTTAATGAAAACTCAAAATGGAATCCTTTGCTGTGAAAGCATTGTATTTTACTTAGTAAAAATACATGCCAACATCCCTGACCATGCAAAAAATATACTTAATTCAGCTTCTTCTATAAGAAACAAGATTATAAAACAAGTCAGAAGGGCTAAATTCAATTTCTAACAATTGTGGAATGATTATTTTTCTAAACATATATCTTAAATGACATTTAAGTGTACTATCATGTCCTACCAGAGAAGTCTGAATCAGAGATGGAACTGTACATATGATGGTGATCCTAATATTTTATCATCTAATGACATCCTGGTTTGCTTGAGTATGTTCTGTGATGTTTACTTAATGATGAAGTCACTTACTGTGCATTTCTAGAAACATATCGTCATCATGAAGTGATGCTTAGCTGTACTTGTATAGTGAGATATAGAATTTATCCTGGATATATACTATTGTAAGATTTTGAAATAACTTTTGTATACTGAAGTTTATTGAACTGTTAGTTTTGTTATATTTTTAATATTTTACTCTAAGTAATGGTGGCCATATGTGACATTGTTACTTTTTTATTTTAATGCAATCATCTTTAAGAAAATATTACCAAACCTTTTCAAAGATTGTAAAGGAACATAATTTCACTCGCTCATCTGTCATATTTGAACAGTGTTGTAGCACTATCTGAGCCAGACGTGAAAGGGAGATCTTAGCATTCATAGATTACTCTTCCTCTAAGCAAACCTTCATTTGTAATTACTACATTTTTTTCATTTTGTAATGGTTGTATTATTTGAATGTTGAACTTTGTATTTTTTTGTACAATTTACATTTTCAATTTACATTTTGATCTATGAATTTCTCTTATCTGACTGGTGTTTCTTTTGTTTGTTTCCTTTTGGTTTTACTAGAACATTCAAATAAAAACTTTGGCAGATGATGTGGTAAGGTGGTGTGAGCAGCATGTTATTGTATTGCTTATGCATGTTACATTTTCTTGTATAAGTGGACATTAAAGCATTGATATATGCAACATATAGTGACTGGATGTTTAGAAAGTAGAACAGAACAGGATAATTGCCAATAGAGCAATCTCTCCTTTTTCACATATTAACATAAAGAGCTGTAGTCAGGCATAATAGTGCATACTTTTAATTCTAGTACTCCAAAGACAGAAGGAGGATTATTCCAAGTTGGAGGTGATCCCGGTATACGTAGCAAGTTCTAGGTTAGCTAGGGCTAGGTAGTACCTCACCCATCTTCAATAAAAAGAAACAACTGCTACAACCTTACATAAACAGTTGGGTCAGATCCCAGCTAAATTATTTCTTTATCAATGTAACATGTACCAAAAGTATTTTAAAGTTTGGTGCATAAATGTGGACCCTAGAAAACATGGACATTTTCTCTTTTGGTAGCCACATAAATTGTGGATACATTCAATACCAATATTGTAGGAAATTATTTACAATTTCAAAAGAAATTAAGTTTATTATCTTAGATATGTGCTTATTGAATCTAAAAAGCTCAGACTGCAATAGTAATTCTCATTAAAAGTTATAAGCTAATATTTAAATGTACTCTTTATACCTAAACTTTCTTGAATAGTATTTTAAACAGTTTCTTTTTTTGTCTGCTTGAAGTTACCTGTCCACAAAAGATGTAAAATAACATTACTGCTCTAAGAGGATGAAGTATGCAGCTTGACTTCTTACCAAAATACAGCTGAAAGAAGAAGGCAGTTTTTGAATTAAAGTGAAGGGCATAGAAATATCAAATCTATATGTTAGTAATGCTGATACTCAGTACAAAAACTTGGACTGTATAAGTATTCTTCAGTGTTATGAAGTGATTGGAGAAGAGATATGTTAATTTAATGCAAATTTCATATTTAAATGCTTTCATGTCCACCATCTCTTTAAGTAAAATTTGACTCAGTTTATTTGGGATTACTAAAATTGTTTTTCTTGAGTTGTGTAAAGACACTCCCTATCTAAACCAACTTAACGGCCCTCAAAGAGTTAAAATAAAAGTTAATAATACAGTTCAAATAATTTTAAAGAAATAATTGTAATGGGAAATTTTAGATCAGAACCAGGGGCTCCTGTGCTTGAGTCACCATTTCTGTGAATTGAGGAAGTTGGTTTAGATGCCATTTTATTTTTCTTCCCAGCTCTAAACTATTGTGGTTTCTATAATCTCCTGGAAGCAACCATATACTCAAATAATTTTTGTAATCCTAACTAAGCTGCTTAAAACTGCTTTCTTCAAAGTACACATTATGGTTCTAAAAACCCAATATTTCAATCTATAAAATAAAGATGATATTCTCTTATGGGGTTAACAAAATTTTACATAACCCATAGTAATGTCTGTAATGTTTTTGTATTCTTAAAGGTTATTTAAATGAACTATGGTAACATGGCAGTGTACATTCACTGTCCCCTAGCTAACATGTCTGCTTGCTTAATTTGACTTAATATTGCATGTGCTTCCTAACAGACACCAGAATAAAACTGAGTTATCTTCAGTTTTATGAATATTACTAATGTTTGATGTCAGATATTTGGTGATTTTCAAATTGAATGACCTGTTGACATGCAGCCAAAGTCCTTGACTCATTTGATATCAAAGAGCAAGCTAAGTGTTAGAGATTGTATCGATGGTTTAAAGCAACTACCCATACATCATAACAGTATTTGGAGGAGGAAGGTATTTCTGTTTCCATTTCCAACAAATGGAATGAGTGCTTTGGCTTTCTTTTCCTTACTATTGATGCCAACCATTTGGGAAGGAAAAAGTTGGGGATATAGTAGTAACAGTAACTAACAGCATCAACACAAAACAAGTGTTTTTGGCTCTCACAATAACCCTGTCTTGTACAGAGGAACCAGTGAGAGATAAAGTGATTTCCTGAGGACTGATCCTGAGATACTGATTTTTCAGTTTGAATTTGCAGTCACTGTATCTGTCTTCAGACTCTTAGTCAACTGTTACACTGATAGTTATTCATATACATAGTTGTTACAGTATTTGCAGTGTGCAGAAAAACATTACCCTAAACTTCCCTTTGAGTTTGCTATCAGTCGCTGTTTTCTTACTCTTTCGATAGCACAAACTTGGCACCAAAGACCCATTCTCCTAGAAACAGTCACCACAAGAATTTTATCCAAAGTGTCTTTTCACTTCATTCCTTGCAAAACAGAAATGACAATTGACTCAGTTTTACTTTTGAGGCATGTGTCTTCACCCCCAGCCTTCTGAAGCTTAGGATTGACTTCAGGGTTGCAGAACGGTCCAATCTCTAACTGGAGCTTGCTGCTTACAATAATGTTTTGTCAAGAGACAATAATAATAGATATTATACTAAGTACCATTTTGATGCTTCCATTCTTAACATGCCTGGCTTCTGATCCTTTTCTCATGGCTTTTTTTTGTTTTTTTATGTTTGTAGCGTGACCGAATTACAAGTTTCAGAAAGTCTACCGTCAAAAAAGATAAACCTCTTATTCAACATCCTATTGATTCTCAAGCCATGATAAGTGAGTTTCCAACGGCTCAGCCATTATATGATGAACGATCTCTGAATTTGTCTGAAAAGGAAGTTCTGGATCTCTTTGAGAAAATGATGGTGAGTTCCACCTCTAATTTCATTGTCATTTGAAACTATGTGTGTCTAGAATGGCATTTTAAATAGGGATGTTTATAGGTGGCTGTTTATGTCATATAAAAGACAGACCCAACCCTTGTTGTCAAAACAAAAATATTCCCAGGAATACCTAGACTTGTCTGTCTGTCTGTCTGTCTGTCTATCTATCTATCTATCTATCTATCTATCTATCTATCTATTTGCTAGCTAGCATGCCTATCTGTTCTACTCAGAGTGCCTAAAATCAGGGACAGATTTATTTCTCTTTGTCTTCTAGTATTTTGTAGTTTGTGGCACAGCAAATCAATTTATCAATTAACTAATTTGTGTCTTTGCTGGTCCAAAGCAAAGTGTGTCCAAGTCTATAAGGTCTGTTGAGTATATGAAATATAGTTGGGAAGGCAGAGTGTAAAATAAACAACAAAAATGGTAATTGGAACCAAGGAATTAATTAATTCCATTTTCTCACATTAGCAACAGTCATACAACTTGCGGTTTGTAGGGTGTTTCTTAATGTTCTTTCTTTGTGTGTGTGTGTCCTAAATTATTTCTAAAATAGTAAATTTAATACTTGGATTATTCAACACTTTATTCTGGAACAGGGATAATGAAATATTGGGCCATTTCATATTGGTTAGCTTGACCATATCTCTTTTAGAGTTACCAAAGATTATTTGTTACTTTAACAAACTCATCTCACGCATCAGAATACATTTTATATAAAGAATATAATAAAATTTGTAGCATCCCTTCCTTTGTTAAACAAACCCTAGTGTATCTTGTATTATTAGTACTTCTCAGTCACTCAATTTCTTAATTGCCAGAAATGGTGACAATAATAACAAATGCAGAAACATTCTTTGAGATTATTTTGTTAGTAACGCTGTCTTTTTCAGCCTTCCCTCTTTCACGCAAAACTTATGTTTCTAGCCTTAAGTTGATGGTCAGTTTTTGCAGCATTGACATTGTCTTCTTGGTTCAGTGTCCTTGCTGTATCCAGGTTCTGTAAATTTCAGCAATATGTGGTTATTTTCTGCTCCATCCATATTTTTTCCTCCATTTAACTTCTAGTTGCTGGTCAAATCCTATTGTTTCAGCTTCTGTAATAGCTGTTGGATCTATGTCCTTCCTCATCTACTGGCTGCTTTTCCTCTTTGCTTAAATAATCCTTCTTAGAGGTATTTCTTGTAGATTGCTTCCTACCTGCTCTTCTGCCCATTTTTCATGCTTTTCCTGTCCTTATCCAGTATACCCCTAATAATTCTGAGAGAATTCTTTTCAAAAGCACCACATGGGCCTTTATGTCTTCAGACAGTCATTTTTAATGACCCCAATGTTCTTACACCTGTGCCCTTAGGTGACTAATTCACATCTTTGCAGGTGAAACATTAGAACCCTTCCCATAGTTCAATGCTGATGACTTTGTTGCTTAATTTACGGAATAAAATGGAAGGGTGGAAAGTGAATATTCATTGGCCTTTACTACATGTATCTTGCTTTTAGACTCTGGACTAATTGGACTGCTTTGTTTCTTGTTTACCATGGATGACTGTTTCATGTCTGAATCCTATGTCTATGTATACAAGTAGTTCCCATTTTTTTTCTCCCTCCCAATTATTCAGTGTAAAGCTATGGTATGTACTACCTGGTATTATTGTCCATGCCTGTAATAGCAATACCATGGAGGCTGAGGGAGACGTTCATGGTTAAGAAGCTAGCATGCAATACATAGAGACATCCAATCTCAATCCATCTAAAAGAAAAAAAAAAAGTTGTATTTCTACTACTTTCCTCCAAGGTGCACCATGACTTTTATGGGCTTGAAACCTTATACCTTATACAATAGTGATTCCCATTAATTTATAACTTGGAGGCACTAGAAAACATATTTCATAACTTTTCATAATCATGTTCTATGATTTCATGTTAATTCTAATGTTTACTATAATATATATTTTAAAAAAATCTTTAAATGTTTGATGTTTTGTAGAACAATTTTCTTGTTGGATTCATTAATGTTATTTAAGCAAATGTATAAATTAGTGCTACATTTTCCCTAATGAGATTGTCTTATTCCATAGGGCTTTGGAGGAGGATGTTAAAGGAATATTTTTATAGGAAATATATTGTGTTATTATTTAATTTCTTGCATATCATATATATCATTGCCACCTACATAAAAGTATTATATACTTGTATATTGACAATGTGTTCATATCCAGTGATGTGATTACTTGATTATGCTGTTTAGTATTTTGATGACTATATCATTTTCTTTAACACCAGTGCTAATTGAGATTCCTATCAGCAACTCAATGAGTCCTGTTGTTTCCATATCTTTGTGTATAGGTGCTATCTTGTCTTTTTGAGCATGGCCATTCAAAACAGGTATGAGATGAGTTACCACATTGTAGGCATAGGTTGGCTTATACAAAAGAGAAATGAACGAGGCACAGAAGCAAATACTGAGTATGTCACTGTTGTACAGAACCTGAAGAGGCTGATGTCATAGCATTAAAGAGTATAATGGTGGTTATAGTGGAGTTCTTATTAGCTTTTATGTTGCCCTGACAAACACTATGGCCAAGGCAACATGAGGAGAAAAATGTTTGGTTCAGTATATACTTCTAGGTAACAGTCCATCACTGAGGAAAGTCAGGGCAGGAAGCTGGAGGCTAGAAACTTGAAGCAATACTGTTCACTGGCTTACTCCCAGACTCACGCTCAGCTAGTTTTCTTAATTAGCTCAGGACCACCTGCTCTGGGATGGCAATGCCCACATTGGGCTGGTCCCTCCCATATCAATTATCAGTCTAGACAATTTCCTCACAGACATGGTTGTAATTCTGATGGAGTCAATTATTCAATTAAGATTTTCTCTTTCCAGGAAACTCTACATTGTGACAAGTTGACAAGAAAAACTAGCTTTAACACAGGGATTGATATAGTTGGGGGAAGACCAGTGAAATGATTGCCAAAGGATTATAAGATTTTGGTTAGGTATGGGGGAATAAGTTAAAGAGATCCATTGTATAAAGTACAGAGATCTATTATATAAAGTATTGACTAAAATTAATAACACATTGTATTGAAAATGTTAAGGTATAATAAAAGGTGTTCTCGACTACCTGGGTTGGCCCCTGATCCTGCTGCTCCTGTCTCCGGTCCCAATCGAAAGCACCCTTGGAGCTCTGATACACCCCCACCCATCCCCACCGCCAGCCTATACCCCCTACCCTGTGCCCTACCCTACCCACGGTCCTCCCGCTCTGGTTGAACACTGGAAAAGAGGGTGGAGCCAACTGTCCACCCTACTTCGGAGACTTCTCGGAGCAACTCTGAACAAAGGAGACATGCCTATCCACCCAGGACCACCTGCTTGGTCTCTGATCCCAACTCCAGTCCTCTGCTGGAGTCCTGGGCTCCTCCTAGAGATCTGCCTATCTCTGTGGAACCACTGTGAGTACCTGCTGGCATCTTCAAATGGATCCTCATCCCTAGGTCCCTGACTGTGGAGAAACTTCTAAGAGAGCTTGGACCACACAGAGCTACAGATATTGAACCTCAGACCCACATAAGCCCATCAGGGAAGTACCATAGAGAGAGGGGGAGACCCCACCAACACCTACTGGAAGAAGGTAAGGGAAGAAGGCAATACAAGAGAACACCTAACAACAGAAAAACAAGCAAGACACCACCAGAATCTAGGGAATCTTCACCAACTAGAATGGAACCACAACAACAAAGCAGAGGAAGCAGAAGGGTACGACTTAAAAATTACCATCATAAATATGATAGAGGCCCTCAAAGAAGATGTGAGAAAATCCCTTAAAGAAATGGAGGAGAAAACTAACAAAAAAGTGGAAGAAATGAACAAATTCCTTAAGGAAAGTACAGAAAGCCAAGAAAAAACAATTAAGCAGGTGAAGGAAACATTTCAAGACTTGAAAACTGAAATAGAGAAAATAAAGGCAACACAAACTGAAGGAATACTGGAAATAGAAAAGGTGGGCAAAAAATCGGCAACTACAGACACAAGCATAACCAACAGAATTCAAGAGATGGAAGAGAGCATCTCAGGCGCAGAAGATAAACTAGAAGAAATAGATTCATCGAACCAAAGAAAATCATAAATCCAACAAGACCTTAACACAAAACATCCAGGAAATGTGGGACACCATGAAAAGGACAAACCTAAGAATAATAGGCAAAGAGGAAGGTGAGGAAGCCCAGGTCAAAGCTGCCGAAAACATATTCAACAAAATCATCGAGGAAAACTTTCCAAATCTGAAGAAGGACATGCCCATGAAAGTACAAGAAGCATAACGAACCTCAAATAGGCTGGACCAAAGAAAAAAGACCCCTCAACATATAATAATAAAAACACCTAGCATACAGAATAAAGAAAGAATATTAAGAGCAGCAAAGGAAAAATGACAGGTAACATATAAAGGCAGACCTTTACACCTGACTTCTCCATGGAAACCCAAAAGGCCAGAAGGTCCTGGATAGATGTTCTAAAAGTATTAACAGAACACGGATGCCAGCCTAGGCTACTATATCCAGCAAAACTCTAAATCTATATGGAGAGAACAAGATATTTAATGAGAAAACCAGATTTTCCCAATATGTATCTACAAATCCAGCCCTACAGAAAGTATTGGAAGGAAAACTCCAAACCAAGGAAGGAACTACGCCCACAAAAATGTAGGCAACAGATAATCCAACTACACCAGAAACCTAGGGTGGAGCAGAACAAATATATTCACAATACCACTGCCAACAACAACTGCCTAAATCAAACAAGCATCAACAATCAATGATCCTTACTCACCCTCAACATTAATGGTCTTAACTCACCTATAAAAAGACACAGGCTAACAGAATGGATACGAAGACAGAATCCATCCTTCTGCTGCATACAAGAAACACATCTTAGCTCTAAAGATAGACATTACCTCAGGGTAAAGGGTTGGGAAAAG